CTGGAAAAGTTTTTTCTTTCTTACCTCTTTTTCTTTTCTTTGTCCAAGTTTTCCGCATTCCTAGAAAATTCTCTTCCTGCCTGCCTGAAACTTGCCTCCCACCAAAATGGTCTCAACTGTTCTCATTTCACCTGCACATCTGCCTATCAAATTTCACGAATTTTGACCATGCTTTCTACATTTTTCCACTCTCTTGGATGATTTAGTGCCTCACCAGAACAGTGCTGTTCTGGATGTGCCTTGGAATAGCATTCGGAAAAATCATGATTTTTCTGAAATTTTTTTAGGTAATGCGACGCCAAAGTGGCAAAAATTTGATGAGTTTGTTATGCCCAGCCTCCAGAGAATGTGTAAACTCGATGTCAGCTTTGTCATTCCTTGCTGAAGTAAAATTTCGATCCAGCTTAGCAAACAATCACTTTATGATTTTGATCTTCCACCCTACTCCAAACAGAAATTCTGAGGCCGAGTTTCTATCACACTTGTGCTTCGGCGTGCACTTCAGAAATCCTGCTCGGCTAGTTGCGGACAAATAAACAAAGCAAGCTATTAGAAGTGAAAAGCTTGAAGATTAATTCATTCCAAGACTGATCAGGACTGAAGTACAAATTTATTCCTATCATATCGGGAAGGGCAAATTTTAAGTGCTAACCCCATTAAAAAGTAAGCCGAAAAAATACGTCTTTTATTGGCCTTTAATTCGAAATTGCTGGAGGACATGACGTATTGGTAAGCTAAACAACTGACGAGCCGAAATCGGTGGTATCTTTACACTAAATGAAAAACTAACGGCTTCATGATTCATTGGTAAATTGGTACTAGTAAATGTAGGGAAATTAGAACCTCCATTAGCGTGGTTGTTAGCAATCCTCAAAAGAGGGCACCACCGACAATCATGTCAGTATTTGAATAGCTGACAATGAGCAACTAATTAGGCGGTTTCGAGTGCCCCCGTCTCAAACAGAAAGTGAAATTTGGTTTGAGCTTTGAATCTTCAATTCAAATGTAGTAAGCGCACAGGAAAGGCAACAGTCGTCTGATTATTTTTTATGCGTTCTTGCTTGCGCTTGCTCAAACTGGAAAGTATTTGTAAATCGTTTTCAACCGCAGAACCTAGCTAGCTCCGGAGTTTGAGTTTTTGAAACTTAACCCCTGGCCTAATAATGGTCAAAACTTTAAAAATAGTCATCTTAATTCATTAAGGGCTCAATTTTTGTCTACACATTTTTACAAGAGAACAAATACGCGCATGTACTTCGAATTTGCACTTACAATACATATGTAAAATTTGCATCATGATCCTAGTAAATCAAATGAATTTGTATATATAGTTCAAATACGGATTCGCAAAGTATGTAACCGAGAAGACTAAATTTGGCGAGATGAAATATGATAACGAAACAGTGGCTGGTAATAGAAACAACGGATGTAAATTCGATCCCTTGTGGATAAAATTGAGCAAAAAATGCGTGCTCCCAGCAATCACCTCCTGGTACGCATCGTTATTATATTATGAACAATTTTTGGTCATTAAGGTGTCAGCCGATTAAGTAAAATAGTACGTTTTCAAGTATATAAACCAGAGCCGGGCTTATCCTCAAACAGAGCCGAACATATTCATAAATGTCTTCTTCATCTGCATCACGATGAATAGCCTTTTCAAGCTAACTTAATTCTTCACTGGAAGGTTTATTTTTGGTTTTTCATTTTGGTTTCTTTAACAAGCAACTGATTAGTGCTGACAGATAAGACGAACTCTCGCGACATTCCTATGTCAGAATGTTTTGAGGAATTACCTTGCGGTACCGCCACATCGAGACGGGCAAATTCAGGGAACTGTGGGTCGCTAATTGCATTGAAGTGCAGTCAAATGTCACTGGCAACTCTGCTGGACTATTGAACAGGAATAAAAGCGCA